TTTGACACGTCCTTGCATAATGTCTATATCCCTTACACTTTCCACACTTCTGACCCTTTACTTTATTATTATCCATTACATTAACTTGTGTATTATCCTTTAACACCTGTTTTCCTTTATGTAAAGATTGTTCAACATTTGCTTTAAGTCTTTTTGGAGATCGTCCTTTGTGTTTGACAATAGCAGGATTATTAATATCAGATAAGTTTTCTATCTCCTGATTTTTTATTTTACACTGAATATTGTAAATAAAAGTCTTAAACATATCCGATAATTCATCCTGCATATCAGCTTTAATAGCATATTCAATAGCTTTCCTTGAGATTCCAAATAACTCCGCATATATTACTTTAGGCGGTTTAACAGATAATCGAGTATTAGCTGAATCATTCTGAATTAAAGAAAGTTAATTAAGACTAATACTTTTTTCAAGTGCCAGGTTATCTTCTGACTGTATTGTACCACATACTAGAACAGAAGAATTTTGTTGCAAAAGGTCAGTTGGGTTGGTATCTGAATTCAAATACTATCGAGCTAGAATCATGCTTATGTGAAAAATCGTATATTGAGAATAAGTACCGACTCAGAAAAAGTGGCGACATATTAACCCTTTGTTGATTAATAGGAGACAGGTACACAAATGTATCCTTCGTCAAGTAAAACTACATAATATCCTATACTTTGTGTTCTGGTAGCATGTACACTTTATACTTCAACGATTACCTTTTGTGAAATGGCTTTAACCAATGATCCAAAAAGAGTTTGTCATATGTCCTATTCCTGTTCCCTAATCCCATCACTTACTTTATCATCTTTGTCGGTCTATAAAATATATTAAAATATTAGAACCATCTATCCAATCTGATCTATCTCTAAATCAACGATCTCTAAACAAAATCTGTCAAACATATCTAACTCCCGATTTAAACCACTCAACACCAATGAAATTAATGAAATTGTATCCTTACCTCTATAAATGTTGCCATTCCGTAATTCGAATAATATCGTAACATACAGATTGGTTCATTTGTGCTCTTTGTTTTCTAAGCATCATGGGCGTTAGGAATTTTTTAAGGATATTATTCACTTGAACAAAAAATCTTTCATTTAATGCTGGCAAGTCGATCGTAGGTAGTGCATTTCGTTCAATATTAAATTTTTCAAGATGCTCATCATTTGTTACATGATCCTTGATACTATGTAATAAATCACAAAGCGACGTAGCATGATCCACCTTATCATGAATAATCTGATTGATTGATTCAATTCTCTGGGTACTTTGTGCGCCAACCGTAAAATATTTATGTATCCAAGGTATTGCCCATGATTTTTTAGTAGTATAGAGCATATCAGACAAATATTTTGTTACTGCAGGGTATTGATCAATTAATTGTTTCCATCAATGTTCAAATAGGTCTTCACATAAAGAATTCCTATATATGTAGAATTTACGATGAAACTCCTCAAACTGGCCACATAACTTTCCTTTTAGTTTTTTTCAAAGGTTTAAGTCGATGTGAAAAATACATAGCATGTGTTGGGAATTGGGATAAACATCCTTAATCGATCAGATCATGGAAGGATCCGAATCAGTGAAGATTACTCTAGGAGAACTACCTGTATTGGTAAGTATATTATCAAATATCCATCTATATGTCTCCATTGTTTCATTCTCGATAATGGTGCATGCCACGATTCTGGTTCTATAATTGTTATCAATTACAGTTATAACGCAAAGCATCATCTGGAATTTGTTTGTATTATAAGTGGTGTTGACTATAATAACATCATTATACTTATTATATAACTCCCTTTGTGTAGGAGACATCCACAAAAGAGAGACTAATTTCCTTGAAACTGGCTTCAACCGAAGCTTTACAATCCAGAGTGGTTCCAAATCCTTCCATTCCAATAAAAGTTAAATCACCCTGGAGGCATCTGCATCCCCTGGACTATTTTTCTGTTAGAACTGAGAAACCGCGTTATACAAATTACGCTTGTGAATAGGTTGATCAGGGTAGTCGTGTTTAAGCAATGGAAAGATAGATCCTGAATCCATCCGTCCTTGGATGACATACTTCTCTATATCAACCAACATTTCAGCTGTCAACTTCCGAAACCGTGGGGCTATTTTATGAATCATTGAGGTAAGTGGATGATTGTGATTATTGTTAAATGAATTGATCTTTACAATGCCACTTGTCTTTGGATAAGTGGCATTAAGCTTCTAAGGATATGATATTCGTTGAGAATGAACATCACGTCGTCTGGTTGGATCTGATATAACTTGTGAAATATGCGAACCAGATTTGGTACACTCGTAAGTAACTCTTCATATCACATCTTGAATTGCTTCGCTTGTTCTAATCCTATAATCAAATCCTTCTTGTAATGCAAACTTATTGATCCAATCTTTGAATTTGTCTCAACTAGTAAAGATAAGTCCAGAGGTTAATTCCAAAGATCTAAGTAGTTCATTTGATTCATCTGAATCAGTATGATACAAAGTATCATTATCGATTATTGGCAAGTTCAATTTGGAATCCTGTTAAGCAATACAGATATTAGATATGATAAAAGTATCAATATAATCGGATGAAAATAATCAGAAACCTGTGATGAAATCAAGGCAGTAGCATCATAGGAAGTACTTTCATAACCAGTATTAAACATCTTTTAGAAGAATGAGTTAGGAGACGACGACAATGCAACAATATAAAAATTTCAACAAAATGATCAAAAAGTGATCGAAAGAAAAAAATATTTTGATTTCATGATCGACACAGCCACATTAGAAACGTCAATAATCACGATTTGTGTTACGTTACGTGACAATTGTGTAAACATATGCGTACACGTGATGGCATTTATAGTTACACAAATTTTCATAAAAGGAAATTTGTGTAACATATTTTCAAACCTAACGCGTGATTTTGATAAGAAATATGATTTCTTTTTTTGGAAATTCGTGTAGCGTCACGTGACCCATGTATTTACACCCCGTATAAACCTAGTAAAATTCATTATTTTATTATTAAAATTTAAAAAAAAACTTTTTTTGATTAAATAAAACTAGTTAATATCATTTTTATTGAGTTAATACAAAGAGTAATATAATAATAAATCCTTAATTTTACTATGTAATATTTAAAAAATGTCACAAAATTTCATATGATATAATTAATCATTAGTGTTACTTCCCTTTACATTTTATTTTTACTAAATATTATGTTGACTTAAAATTTTTTTATTAGTGAAATCCTATTTTCACCTAAAAATATATATATACAATATATAAACAACTTTTAGAAACTATATGTCATATGTACGTCACAATTAATTCTAATCAAATATTGTAATGCTAGCTATTTTGTGACATTTTTGAAATTACGTAAGGGAAATTCAAATTTTATTTTATTTTTATTTTTCAATGACATACAAAATAATTTAAGTAAAGTATCTGAATAGATATTTTTAGTTTAATGACGTAATTATTTATTTTGTAAATTATTAGGTCATTTAACTTTAAAATCACTGTAAGATAAAGTTTTGAAATCAATTCGTCATTCATTTCAATCTTACATGATTTTTTGAATAAAAAATGTACATATAAACAATTTTGATTTATTTATTACTTTTCTTTAATTAAATTAATCTTCTTCATATTTATTATAATAAGTTTTTAAATAATTAAATTCTACATAATATTATTTTTTGAGAGTTTTATTTAAAATTATGTAAAGAAAATATATATATTTTGTGACTACAAGTTTTCCAAATTGACCTATCAACTAATTTATTTTTTCATATTATTCTTTTTTAAAAAGTCATTCTAACCTTAAATATTTCTTAAAGGTTATTTTTTTCTGAATAAGATCTCCTTTATTGTAGATAAAGTATTTGTTGATATCATGAATCTTAGAGAAGCAACTTGAATGCTATGATTTTAAATAGATATCATTTGAATTTATTACTTGCCTATTATTAACTTTGTGGATCTAGGGATTAGTGATGTTAAATTACTTAAATAGTTCAGTTTATGCTTTAAATTAGTAGAAATGATTTTCAAACTACTTGAGATTTAGTTTAAGCTAACTAGTTAATTCCTTATTTAAAATCTGTTTAGACTATTATTTTTCTAATTAATTAATATATTTTTTTAAAAGATATATTATATACAATAAAAATATTAAATATCGAATATAAAAAATAATTTAGCTAATTATCATTATTATTATCCTTCAAAAATTTTCTTTAATTAATCTTATTGTGAATCAGATTTTAAGATAAAGAGATTTGTAAGCTTTTTTTTAGATTCAGATGATTTCTTGTTAAGCTAACTGTAAACTTTATTAAATTAAAAATCTATTTACTTAGTACACTTATTGTTTAAATGATCAGATAATCTTACGTCATATTTGTAAGTGAAATCTATTGAAGTTTTTCTGATTTTGCTTTTTAATATGTAAGAATATTAACATTTTGAATAGGTGAATTAAGATATTCTTAAAAGGATCATCATCTTCTATTAATACACTATATGTCTTCTTAAGATAACAACAAAATAATCACAAGATGATATAGATTTAGAGAGTTATATAGTTTGTCTAAAAAATCTTTATTCATACTGTCTCACATGCATTATTTTTATTTGTATCAAATTCAAAAAATAGTAGTTTATTATTTGAATCAAGTATTATATCTTCATGAAAAGTTTCTTTATGCTCATCCTAATATTTATCCAATTTTATACTCATCTTTTTTGCAACTTATATTTGTATTTAATTGATTTAATCTTGTGTTTCCTGTACATTTTGTGCTTCATTTATTATATTTATTATAATAAGAAATACTGTATAGAGATCTCAAATGTAGATTGATTAGATACTGAAAGAAGGTTAATTGCTTAATAAATTAGTTCAAGTAATATAACAAGTGTCTAAAATATTAGTCTTTTTTTTATGAAATTAAATTTAAAAATAAATACTAATAATAAGTTTTTACCAGTTCTTATTATTTAGATTTATATCCTTTAATGTTAGATTTGATGCAACTAAAATATCTGTAAGATCATGAATCTTATGCAACCTTTCTATCATAATATATGTTAAATTCTATCACATACTAACATTAATTTCAAATACTAAAAAGGAATACTTCTTTAATTCAAAAATTTTCTTTAATTTCTCAAATAAAATTTGAGATAAATGTATTTCAATCACAAGTTTTTGAGCTTTTAATAATTGATCCTCCAATTTCATTGAGACTATTTTTTACTACTAAATTTAAGATAAATACAGTACATCTAACATAGCAGTATAATATATTACTATAATTATCAGAGAGTAATTTTGTAAATCTTTGTTCAAGTTTATCATATTATAAGTATTGTCAGTAGTTATTGCAATGATTTTGTTGCTAAAATTATAATTATTAATAGTAGTATATATGGCATTTATTAATCAGATATCTGTATGCTATTCATGAAGAGATATTAAATTAAGCAAAATGCAATACATCTTTTAATCATCATTAAATTTATATACAATCTATATATCTATAGTTAGTGTTACTTTACTACTAAGATTACTGAAATATTTTTTAAGTATTTACATTGATTTTCATAAATCTGATGGATTTTTGTTAAAACAGTTACTGATTTAATAATTTGTATCACAGATCTAAGATTATTACAAAGGCAATAAAATTCATCATTTTCAATAATTGAAAATAGTTATTAAATTTTATCGATAAAGTAAAAAACTAATATTAATTATTTTTTTATCATTCTTTCCATATAGTTTAACTGGTTTACAGGTTTATTGTTATTCAACTATTACCTATTCATTTTTGTGATTTACTATAAAATGTATTTTAATTGTAGTAACTCCTATTTTTTGATTGTATTCTTACTGATATATATTATAAGTAAAACAAGTTTTGTCTATAATCTAAGAAAGATATTATCAAACTGGATGGTATAGCTTACTTTTTTTTACCTGTCATTTATTTTTAACTATAAATGTATTGGCTTATGTATTATTTGTCATTATATAATTAATAATATTATAATTATGTTATGTAAGATTAAGAAAAGTACGTGATAAAAAGTTAATTATAAAGTCTTAGAGTGATTTATTTAAACTTGATTATAAATTGGTTTATAATTAATTAATTGATACAGTACAAATCAGAAACTAGCTAAGCATATTAGTTTAAGTATAAACTAGTTTAGAATAAACTATTTAACATTCTTATTAGAGATGCACAGTAAAAACATTATTATGTTCTAAGTCTTGGTGATGTCTCTTAGTGAGATTATTCTTTTAAGATTGTATATTTCTATATGCCTAATTTCTCTAAAGTATAAGAGTAAGCTTTAGCAGATAATACTATTTCTATGGTATCTGTTTGAGATGTCAGAATCTCTTTGATTGAATCTAATCTGATTACAACTATTTTCTCTTTTTTCTTATTTTATTATCACTTAGAACATTTAGATTTGTCTATTAGAAATTAAATTATGCTCTATTTCTGTCAATAACTATTATTAAGAAATGATCTATATCAAAACAAATAAAGTTACTTTAATTGAAAAAACCCAAAAAAAAAATTATTATTTTTTCTTTTTTTTTTTTTATTGGATCATCTTTCTATAATTCTATTTGTATTTTTTCATTGTATTTCTTATAATATTTAACTTTATATTGATATTTATATGTAATAAAATATAAGCAAACATTTATAATAATATGTTAAAAGAATTAATAATGTGGAATTATTGATTAATTTATTTGGTTATAAGATATAAGAAATAGAAAAGCTAATTATCATAAATCTCGATAGAGAAATAGCATTTATTTATTAAGTCTGAATATATTTTTTTGTAAAATATAGCAAATATACTTTTATTAAAAATATAAAAATATATGCAATTATATGAAATAACTGTTATGCATGATGATATAATTTTTAATTAAACTTGGTATTTCTTAATTTTTGAGATATGAAAACCTGTATTCTGCATTTTTTTAATAGAATATCTCTATTCATAAAGTTTTAAATTTAATTAGATAGTTTCATTAGACTTGTGAAAAAATTCTTTATCTTTTAAATAAAGTCTTCCAAAAAGTTCATTAGAAATTTTTTTTAATTGTAAATTATCATATATCAAATTGATACATATAAAATTAGTATTACTATTTTTAAATGTTAATATATACAGTAATACTTAAAAGTATTGCATCACCTGAATACAAATTTTAAATAGCATTATCTTGTGATTAAGAAAGCACAGTGTTATATAAATTATTTATTATACTTATTATAACTAATAATATGAAAATCGTTGTATAGTAATGAGATAAATTTTTAAAAATATTTATTTTTAATCAATTAAGTGATCCTTAATTTGACCATTGGTTTAACATGATGATCGCGTAATGGTCTCCTGACTTTTTCCAACAATACTCTCTACCATCTGATCCATAAATCATAAATTTTTACTCATCTGACCAAACACCTTATGATTTGTATTTTTTTGCAAATTTCATCCTTGCAATTCTCTGTGTTTTTCGAAGATATGGGTTTTGCACTTAACTCTTGCACTCATTCCATTTCTATGTAAGGTTCTCTTTATTGTACATTCACTAACTTCAATTTGTTCTATTTTTAATTTTTTTTGAATTGCAACAGCATTTCTACATTCACCTGTTGTAATTAATCTCAAAACTTTTCGTTCATATCGACCAGTTAAGAGTCGCGGACGTCCAGATTTAGGCTGGTCTTTATTGTTACCAGTTTTATCTTTATGTTGCTTGGTTCTTATAACAGTTGATTGGGAAACATTTTCCTTGTTTGCTATATAGCTGGAGAGAAATCCTTCTTCAAATAAGGCATAAATCCCGGCTCTTTTTTCAGCAGAAAGATAAACCATAGATTTTTTATAAAATTACATAGAGGCGAAAAATGCCATAAGGCATCTTTTTTATACGTGCCGCAAAGGTGTTTTGAAACAAAAAAAAATCGCGTAATATGTGTTGATGTTTATTTCTTAAATCGACCAAAAGAAATGCATCGAAAGATTCATAACAAAAAAAAAAATCCTTAAAAAAAAAAGATGAAATAGATAAAGATTAAGGTATGACGAACTCTATTTTTAAGTTTTGTAACACTGCGCCTTTCAATTACAAGATATTGCCATTTTAGATTTTGTACAATACTTTATATGATGGTTCGTGAGATTTCTGCGTCGACTGTAGTTCCGACTTAATTAAAAATTTGCTGTTTTATTTTTAGAATATTTTTTTTTAAAAAAAAAAAAAATGATAAAACGACAACTTTAAAAGAAATTTCCGTGCCGAGGTTATTATAGAAACACATAAAACACTTGAATCGTCTACATTATCGTTTCAGTTGTCTGAAAAAACATGTATATGCATCTTCAAAAGGAAATATTCAAAGCATTTTTTTTTTAGGACAGAATATATTACGTCAAATTCTGGATCCACATCATAGTTCGTGAAATAACTGACGATTCAAAAAATAAATAACATGAAAAATAAATGTGTACAATAAAAGAACTTTATTATTTGTTATTAATTTATATTTATTTCATTTTTTTATATTATTTAAAAAAAAATACATAGTAAAAAGACGGAAATAAGTAATGATTTTACTACGATTTCAGTGTAATACATTAATTTTAATAAAATTAATGAGGATACACAACAGCATTGTACGATATTGTTTAAAAGCTTGTGCGACTTGACTTGTCAACATTTTGTGAAACAAATATATGTATATATATATATAAAATAACCATCATTTCCAATTTCACGTTCCACCTTCCTCCCTAACAATAAATTATTTTCCGGGGATGTGCCGGAAATAACAAATTCTATCATACAATTTTTACGTAATCATTTAAGGTCACTTTATTCATGCGTATTAGTCAATAGGCATTTATGTTTGATTACAATTCCCATACTTTGGGAAGATCCTTTTAACGTTTGGAATAGTAAATTCCTGACTACTTATTTATTATTTCTTAATGATGAGGATAAAGTAAGGTTAAAAGGATTAATTTTTCCATCATCATTTAAAAAACCTTTATTTAATTACCCCGGCTTTATTAAAACTTTAAATCAACTCCGAATGCAAAAGCATGTAACGGAATTTATAGAAAATTTAATTGATGATGCCAACCCTAGAACAATAGATTTTGCGATAAGCCTATTTCGTAATAAAGATACAAAGCTATACGATCTGAAATGCACAATTTATGAATTATTATTTAAATTATTCATAAATAATGACATTTCTTTAAATAGTTTATATGTAAAAATTTGTCATAGCCAACATGCTCTTAATGTTATGATTTTCAATGAAATATGCAAGAAACCAAAATTTCTATCAGACATCAAATATTTTACATTAGATTTTGATAGGTGTAAAGTTATTCCTCATTTACCGATACCTTCCTTCGAGTACTCCCCATCAGCGATAACTTCAAACAAGCATTTTACAATTTATTTTAATTCGAAAAAGAACTTATCTGAGAGGAATTTAAAATATTTTATTAAATCACAAACGCAACTTTTATCCCTCACACTTTATACTATATCATCAAAAGTAGCTTACTTAATGAGTGCTTTGAAGTATTGTTCTAATACTTTAACTTCAATTGAGTTTAATTCTTGTGATTTTAACGACATGCCATCATTGAATGGACTTAATTACCTTATACACCTTGAATCACTTCAATTCAAACATTGCAAAGGGATAACAGTTCAGGTTTTTCGACCCTTACTTGACATTTCTACTCCACTAAAAATCAAAACTTTAACACTAGAGGGTTTAAGTATAGAAATTACTTTTATTCAATCATTGTTTCAAAAAATCGGTTCTTTTCTGGAAAATCTGGGAATACATCTCGGGATTGGAAGAATAAACATTTTTGAATGTATTATCAATCATTGTAATAAAGTTTAATTTCTCCATATATCTGGGATTGTTCATGTGGACATAGTTCATTTGTTTAAATTAATCACTCATGTTCGCAAACATCTCAAATATCTTTCGCTTCAAATTCGGAATCATCGTCAACCTTGTTTTATTGAGTCGGAATATGAACAACAACTAAGAGTTAGTTCCATGATCTTGACAAATTTGGGTCAAATCTTACCAGATACTTTGAAATATTTGGAATTAAAACTTGTAATTGATCCAATTAAATTGAAAATCTTTTTGGATAATTGTAAACACATTGTTGGTTTAAACAGTCTACTGGTTATGAATAATTCCCAAAATGATATTATTTTTAATGTTTTAAAAGAATTTGTAAGGGAGAAAAAGGTAATGAATTTTGCATATGAGGTTAATTGTTATTTTACTATTTATGATCATGATGATTTTGGACGTAAGAATTTAGACAATGTAAAGCCTTATAGAGATTTGATTAAAAGAATTTCGTTTTGATGTGATTTATATTACATTATTTTTTTTATTTTGTTTTATCTTAATTGGATTAAGTTTCTCAAATTGAAACAGAGGGTAGTTAGTTAAATTTTCAAAGAAAGTTTTGATCTAATTATTTTTTCTGCATATAAGGAACAAGGAGGTTTTCATTAATAAAATATATTATTAACTTCTCTAATAATTTTCATTACAAGTATGGCCTCTTAATCATAAATTCTATATTTCGTTAAAGTTTTAAAAGAAGTGTATGTTGAGCAGAGCTTATCGATATATAGTCTAGTTTTAATTATCTTTGACCGGAATTATAAATTTCTTGTCATAATGTTATCAATGAAATTATAAATACATTGTGTAAATGTTCATGTTTGGGCTGTCACAATAATGTGAAACCACTTACATTTTTTCTTCGCCTTTGCCTTCGTAAACATATGCAAAATTACGAAATCATTCTATTTTAATTAATCGATTATATTTCAGATTATAACTTACTTCTTTATATTCTATTACACGAGAAAGTAGATACTTTTAATAATATTTTAACGAGGAATGAGATATTTACGTATTCAAGTTTAGATAAATTGAATAAAGGACTTTTAATTATAAAATTGTGAATTCACTAATTTTACCTTAACGTTCAATGTACTTTGTGGTTTCATGTAGCTTAAATCCGGATAATTAAACTTAAAATTGATTCAAATGACCTGAATTATCGATTTCGGGCAATCCAATTTGAGAAGGTAATGCGATTTTGCTCCCAAATTTAAAATTGGGTCAATGGGACATCATAATTATTGTCAAAGATCAAATATCATATCGCAACCATTTCATCATCACATTCGGAACTAATTTTGCCACCTTGCCATCTTCGTTTATTTGGAAGCAGGAAAAATTACGTGAAGTGTTAAATTTGGTTATTTTACAGGATTTAGTTTTCACATAAAAGCGAATATTCAAATTGTGTGACTGTTCTAATTTGTTATTATTAATATGGAAAGAATTATACAACAATTCTATTACTCAGCTTTGCGCAAGATAAAACTTATTATTGTAACATTGAAAATTTGGCCTTGTATTAATCTCTGATAACCCGTGAAGTTACTTTCAATTATACTATGCCATAAAATGTCATTTTCGAAAATAATGAAATTGTTTATATCCCGTATTTTTAAATAAATGCAAAAAGAAAAAAATTTTTTATTTGAGATTGTGCACAAAATGATTTATTACTATTTCTTGAAGCGTAAATGATATTTTTACGATATCTTACATGAAAGAAACAATAATTTAGAATATTATTGTAAAATCTGGAGCGAAGATATTAGTGAGAATCTAAAGTTATTAAATTATAAAAATGTGGACCAGACCAGATATAGTTTTGTTAATCAATTTAGCACGTGATATACTTCCGGATAAATAATAACTGACTGTATCTTATACAGAGACCCGGAAAAATTCCGATATCAAATCGTAAATTTTTATCACGATAACAGCAAAAATTCCGATTTTATTCCG